GGGACACAGCAAACATGTGGAAGAAGGGGCTCTGATAACATTGAATTTGGGACCAAAATTGAATTTTTTGGCATAAAAGCAAAACGCTATGTGTGGCGGAAGACTAACACTGAACATCACCGTGAACACACCATCCCCACCGTGACACATGGTGGTGGCAGCATCATGTTGTGGGGATGATTTTCTTCAGCAGGGACAGGGAAGCTAGTCAGAGTTGATGGGAAGATGAATGGAGCCAAATACAGGGCAATCTTAGAAGAAAACCCATTAGAGTCTGCAAAAAACTTGAGATTGGGGCGGAGGTTCACCTTCCAGCAGGACAACAGCCCTAAACATACAGCCTGAGCTACAATGGAATGGTTTAGATCAAAGCATATTCATGTGTTAGAATGGCCCAGTCAAAGTCCAGACCTAAATCCAATTGAGAATCTGTGGCAAAACTTGAAAATTGCTGTTCACAGACACTCCCCATACAATCTGACAGAGCTTGAGCTATTCTGCAAAGGAGAATGGGCAAAAATTTCACTCTGTAGATGTGAAAAGCTGGTAGAGACATCCCCAAAAAGACTTGCAGCTGAAATTGCAGCGAAAGGTGGTTCTACAAATTATTGACTCAGGGGGGCTGAATACAAATGCATGCCACACTTTTCACATATTTATTTGTAAAAAATTTTGAAAACCATTTATCATTATCCTTCCAGTTCACAATTATGTACCACTTTGTGTTGGTCTATCACAGGCGTCCTCACACTACGGCCCACTGGGCCAGCCAAAAAAAAAAAAAGCCGGAGCCGTCCAGCAAATAGCTAGGGTGCTCGATGGGTCCTCGGCTGTGATGACCCAGTGAGCAGCAGCAGCCTGCAAGCCCCATATTTCACTTGCTACAGCCAAAGGAGCAACAGGACAGGAAAGGAGGAGAGCACACCAGGCACAGTGCATTGCAGTGTCCAGTGCATCAGAGTACAGTGCGTTACAGAGTGCAGTGCATTGCGGTGTCCAGTGTATCCGAGTGCAGTGCATTGCAGTGTCCAGTGTATCAGAGTGAAGTGCATTGCGGTGTCCAGTGTATCAGAGTGCAGTGCATTGCAGTATCCAGTGTATCAGAGTACAGTGCGTTACAGAGTGCAGTGCATTGCGGTGTCATTGCGGTGTCAGTGTATCAGAGTACAGTGCGTTACAGAGTGCAGTGCATTGCGGTGTCCAGTGTATCAGAGTACAGTGCGTTAGTGTACAGTGCATTTTAAATATTGTATTGTTTTGTTCCTGTTTTTGCACTACAAATAAGATATGTGCGGTGTGCATAGGAATTTGTTCAGATTTTTTTTTCAAACTATAGTCCGGCCCCCAACAGTGTGAAGGTCCGTGAACTGGCCCCCTGTTTGAGGACCCCTGGTCTATCACATAAAATCTCAATAAAATACATTTATGTTTTTGGTTGAAACATGACAAAATGTGGAAAATTTTAAGGGGTATGAATACTTTTTCAAGGTACCGTATAATAATAAGTGCCACCAAGCAAACAATTGTGAGAGCATAGTGGTCAACCTACCTCAATCATCAGGATGAATAGCAGGCCACTGATTAATGAAAAGATTACCTCTTTGTCCAGGGCTTTCTTGATAAATTTCCAAAGGTCTGGACAGTCTTGATAGCCTACACATGCCCAGGCAGTCTTCATAAAGTGCTCTTGGTATAGTGCTGAAGGAAGCTGTGGGGCTTTTGTGTGGCAAGGGTGTGTTGTATGTGCGTGGGGGGATTCCCCTTTTTTTTTTTCCTCTCACCCCCTTCTCAACACACACGCACAGTTATCTGGGTGGATTGGGGTAAAGAGACCCAGTGGAAGGGAGAGGCTGTGGAGAAGTCCAGGAGATGAGAATGGGAGAAGGTGACAAGGGGGATAAACAGCAGGAGGTCTTGGGTGGAGCGAAGAGGACAATTTGGGTGATATTTTGAGATGAGGCTGGTGATGTAGCTTGGGCAAAGTTGTGGATGGAGGTGTAATGTTCTTAGTATTTTACATTTTATGTGTTTGGTGAGCAGAAACCAGTAGAGGAATTGGCAGAGAGGGTTGTATTTTGTAATTAACATAACAGAGTCAATGTGCTTTTAAAAATCCCAGTTGCTTGATAAAATATCCATAGGCCAATTTTTAGAACATTTTTTACCTTGCAAAGTGCATGTTCGCCTACTTTAGTGAATTAGGTGTCCAACTGTCCCATCATAAACAAGGACAAATCCTTTTTTTTTTTTTTTTTTTCTTGCTCTTGTTATTGGGTAGTCAAAGGCTACAGATACAGTACCTCTCCGCATGTTATGGAACTAATGGGGGGGGGGGGGTGATGGGGCCACTTGTTACCTGATTCTGACCTGTGCGTTCTCATATTGAAGCTATAGTATGTGAGGGTAAAGGAAGAGGGAGGGGCAGGAACCAGAGAACACATTTGCTGACCCATTAGAAGATATTGACAGAGACAACTACAGACATAGCCTTTGTACAGCTTACTTTTTAATTAAAATAATAAACAAGTTACACTTACCTGCTCTGTGCAATGGTATTGCCTAGAGTGGCCCAAAACCTCCTCTTCTTGGGACCTCCACCAGTGCTCTTGGCTCCTGTTGTTCTTTGTGTGCCACCATAGCAATCTGCTTCCTATATGGGCGCACCTGCGGACCCACTGCCGGGTGGGTCTGTGCGAGTCTATTGACACACATGGCACAGCTCAGCCCCCCCCACTCACAGGATTTGCTTTACAGCAGCAGGAGCCAATGGCTGCTGCCTCTGAGCAGAGAGAGAGGGAAGAGTTTACTACCACTTTGCGGGGCACTGCTGTCAGCAGGTATGCAGTGCCTTCTGAGCTACTTTAAGGCTCCATGCACACTGGGGTGTTTTAATAATAGTGCGCTGGCAGTGTTAGCGGTGTAAAGTCATGTTAAAAATGCCCGTTTTTCAGCATTTTTGCATTAGCGTCTAGCCGCTTTTTTTTTTACCCCCAAAAAATGTTTTGCTCAAAAAAAGTCCAAAAACGACATTTTTTCTGCATTAATAGCATTTTACAGCTGAAAAACTCCTACTAGGTCTGGGGTTTTTTCCAGGCAAAAAATGCTGATTACAGTCTGTGTGCATGGCCACATAGGATAACATGCTGGGGAGTTTACTGGCTGTAGAGAAAACCGCAGCTATAAAAAACGTCCAGTGTGCATGAGGACTAAATGCAATTTCATGTTTGGGGAAAACCTTTTAAGTTGATCTACAAGATAGAGAAAAAAAAATCAGAAGTCTAACAGATTTCCATTCATATAGGATGTAAAGAAATGAACCTAGTCAGGAGTGCACTATTTGTTCCTTGCTTCAACATCACAGTTCCCTATGGGTTTTTTTTTTTTTATCTTTTGCTTGAAAGGCTAATAAAAGAGAATGGGCGAAACAAAGTCATAAGCTGGCTCTGTCTGAAATCTCTGTCATCTCGTCTCCAGAGAAGATACAGACCATTTCCATGTCTGGCCCGACAGTAGCACCTGAACTGGCAAGAGCACAATTCCATTTGATTTATAGAATAACTGCGTGACAAATGATGACAAAAATAAACTTTTACTGCACCCAGCTCCTCTTTTATTTATGAAATTTGGCCACGTAGTGAAATCTTTTATCTGCAAGTTGTAACGCAGAGTGGAAATGAGCAATTATGATGGGGTAGTAGTGATCTGCCGGTAGAGGCCGAGTCAGTTGGAAATGGATTGAGGGAGAATAGTCGCCGCACTATGATAAATGTGAACATTGCTTTGCTGACAGATGATCTAACAGGTGTTCATAACAACTATATAAGAGGATTTATTTATGACCAGCCACAGCCGCAGCAGTGTAAATCAAACAGAGCAGCTGCACTCCACTGAAACCAAGTCCCCGATGGAGGCGCTGAGCAACAACCCAACAACACAATTCATTCTAGAATCTCAATCATCAAATAACAAGTTTCACTTAATTATGCTGTTGCATATAACACACAATTAGGTTCAATTAGGAAACTAACTTTTTGCTGTTGTATAAAGCTACTTCAGGCCAAGGGGTATTTTTAAACCGCAGCAGAGAAAGTAAGTTTGTTGACTTAAAGAGAATTTTTTTTTTTTTGTGGTAAAGAGTTAGACTCTCTGTAAGTCCATATTTTATATCTGTGCCATTACAAGGATATTTCATATCACTTCACTGTCATCTGGACAATAGCAGAGAAATATCCCTAACGGGGATACAGACAGCGGTAACACCGATAATAATTCCTCCCCCTACTATGCAGAATAGTAGAACTTAAAAAAGATATCCCTTTAAAATATTAAATGCAAAAGCAAACATTTATTAAATTGCAGCTTACCAATTCCTAGAAGTGATGGCTGCATTAGTTTTTTCTTTTTAAGGATTTTACTTTTTTATTTTTCCTGGTGATCTAGACAGTAAGTCTGTCAGGAAGTCCTGCAGATGTAGCAGTTGGAGGCTTTTTTTTTTGCCTCAGAAAATAATTGTGGGTACCCCCCTTCTAAGTCACCCTTTGTCTCCACTCTCTACCCACCTTTAACCACTTGCCCTTCAGAGGGTTAACCCCCCTTCCTGACCGGGCCATTTTTTGCAATACGGCACAGAGTTACTGACAATCACACGCAACGCTGCACCCAAATTAAATTTACATCTTTTTTTTTTTCCCCCACAAATTGAGCTTTCTTTCTATGGTATTTGATTGTCTGTGCGGTTTTTATTTTTTGCGCTATAAAAAAAAAAAAAAAAAAGATTGACAATTTTGAGAAAAAAAAGTTTTTGACTTTGTGCTATTAAAAATGTACAGTAAAAAAAAAAAAAAAAAAAAAAAAAAAAAAAAAAAATCAACTTTCGTCATAAATTTAGGCCAAAATGTATTCTGCTATGTCTTTGCTAAAAGAAATCCCAATACGTGTAAATTAATTGGTTTACGTGAAAGTTATAGCATCTACAAATAGTAATGGTGGTGATCAGCGACTTATAGCGGACTGCGGCGGGCATTCTGACACTGGGGGGGACTGTCACTGACATCCCGAGTGACACCAATACAGTGATCAGTGCTAATAAAAAGGACTGACACTGTACTAATGACACTGGGCAGGAAGGGGTTAACATCTGAGGTGGTCAAAGGGTTAACTGTGTGCTGTGTGTGTTTTACACTGTGTAAGCACATTGCTTTGTATTGCTCTGCTATCAGATCCATACAAAGCAGTGTGCAGGAGCTGACAGTGGAGAGATCTGTATTGTTTACACACAGGTCTCTCCCCCCGTCGGTGATACACAGTGATTGCCGGCGGAGAATAACCAGCCGGGACCCGGTGATCAACAGGTGAGTGCTGCCAATGGCGGCGTGGGTAGTGCTCGCACCGCGCCCCCCCCTACCCAGAAATGCAAAATCGCGTATATATACACACACACACACACGTGATTTTACGCACCCCTGCAACAGTATTTCTGCTAAAGGGCGGCGGGAAAGTGGTTAAGCCCTACCCCTTGCTTCCACCCTCTATTCACCTAAGAGTACCGCCCTTTTAGAGAATACTGGGTGCTAAGAAGTTTGTATGGAATTTGTTGATAACATGAAAAACATTAAACAGGTCCCCTGCAGCCAGCAAGAATAGACTCCCATCAATAGATCCTCCCTGGCAAAAATAGACCCTGTACAACAAAATATCCCCCCAACAACAACAGATCCACCCCAGAAAATAGTTCGCACAGCATCCAGTATCAATAGACCCTCCAGCACCCCTTGCCATGACATACATTCCGCGTTGGAGGTGCCGGAACTACATTCCCCCACATTCCTGCTGAAAAAATGCTCTGGTTGAGACAAACCATTTAACGCTACAAGGCTGCTTACAATGATGATCAGCTTTCATTGATGTAAAACCTTTATCCCAAAAGAAGCAAAACTGTTTGCTATAAATGCTTTTAAAATGTCAGCTGGAGTTTGCCTTCAATTTGGCTCTCCAAAGGTTGCTCCATCGAGAATGGGGGAACAATAATACAGGAGGTGTGTTACTGGCCAGATCATCAGCTGAAAACGGAGGGGATAAAAAAAAAGAAAACTGATGCAGCCACCACATCTAATAACTGGTAAACTGCATTATATTACATTTTTAGATTTGGGTTTAATACTGCTTTAAATATTCCATGTACCATATTTAGTAAAAACTGATCATATCACATAGATACAAGATATCCGTGAAATCTGAATCTCTAAAATCATATTAGTAGTGTGCCATCCCCACAAATTGTGCAGGATACAGTTATACAATATGTACTATTGAGAGTTACACGAGCCACAACCTGTCCTGATCCAACATGGCATTAGCCATGCTGGGAGTCAGAGAACAGTCTGGATCAGGCATATCTCCACAAACTTGCTTTTGCCTCTCTGTGGGTTCTAGTGTACGTATCCTTTTTTCAACCAGTTTTTTACTGCCACAGGGTGGACTCCCTGTGCGAATTCACGTATATATACGTGATCCGCACTCTCACCTTGTTCATGAGCAGGAGAAATGCATGCGCGCACCAGCCCGGCAGTGATGTGATTCGGTACAGCACCGATGACTCATCATATTCAGGCCAATGATGTATGGACCCGATAATCGTCTGTACCCAATCAGAGCTCAGCCTGTGTTTACATTACACAGGCATAGGAAATAATGCAATCTTCTATGCCTGGAGCACATTCCATTCCAAAGAAAAAACAGATCAACGTGAATCAAAGAATCAAAGCAACACACACACACACACACACAAAAGCACTGCTAGGTCACATTTGACCCCATGATCACCCCCCCCCCCCCCCGTTAACCCTTTCACTGCCCTGTCACCAGTGTCATTAGTACAGTGTACAGATTTTTTTTTGTTACTGATCACTGTAGTGTTATGGGCGACTTCAGATAGCGTTAGCGTCCCTCCCAGATAACATCAGATACATCATCCATCACATTTAACCCTTTGATTGCCAGGAACATGCTCACATACACAAACCTCCCTTGCTAGTATAGTGTCTGAACAGATTAATATCTTTGCTCAGATCAGAACTACACCAGTGTTCACAATAGCAGTGTCCCCAAAAATGCAGCATTAATAGGATCAGCCCTGGCACCTGCGGTTGGCCCCTACACCTAAACCCCCCCCCCCTTCACCAGCAGGTGCAGTGTCAGTAGATCACTGTCACTTGATACATTGCACACAAAAGTGCAGTGTTTGCAGAATCAGGCCTGATCCCTGCTACCACTAGCAGGTAAATTTTTGTTATAGCAGTTCAAGCAGTACCTGACAGCCAGGTGCTTTATTTTTCCCCGTGAGTCGCACTAGGTACCTATAAGTTTAGTGGATGTCCAGTGAAAGGGTCACTAGTGAAGAGGCCTTCAGGATTCTGAATATCTTAAAACAGAGCGAAGGGGAAGCCTCACTAACAGAATCATGTTCAGAATACAAATTTGTAGAGAGCAGAGGCACCCTGACAGATAGCTCAGACAATGGAGCAGAGGTCCCTGCTAAGGTCAGGCGAACCTGACCCCGTTCCCAGGCGTTACAATTGCATGATGATTCTCATATGCAGCAGAGCGCTAGTGCCGCTCAACCTCTTGGTGAACTGGCAAACACCAGCGGCCTAGTACATCCTGGTCTTTCACATACCAGCACTGCAGTATCACTTGGTGATGTGGTGAGTCCCATAAGTGCAGTACAAGCTGATGTGGTGTCCCGAAGCCACCAAGAATTCACACACAGGCCCGTAGAGCCCCTAGTATCCTTCCGGATGTGCTTGCAAAATCTGATTGGCAGCCCATCAAATTCTGCAGCACCTGTACTTCCCCTATTCACTGCCCAACCCAGAATTCAGGTGGAAATAGCAAATTTAACTATTCTCCTTGATTTTTTTGGAGCTGTTTTTCAGGGAAGATCTGTATGCATTGATTGTGGATCAAAGCAATTTATATGCACAACAGTTTATCGCCACCAACCCCGATTCAACCTTGGCAGACCATTTGTATTGAAACCCATTACGGTTTCTGAATTTAAAGTTTTTTTTTTTTTTTTTTTTTTTTAGGGCCTAACCCTCAACATGGGCATTTCTAAAAAGAACGAGTTGCGGTTGTATTGGTCCATAAACCCGATCCATAATGCCCGTGTTCTCTGCTGCCATGGCCAGGCATACATATGAGAATATAATGCAATTTATACATTTCAATGACAATACACTGTCATCCTCGGGGTGACCCTGAATATGATAGGCTCCACAAATAAAAAAAAAAAAAAAAAAAAAAGATTTATTAAGTTACTGTTTTATTGTTAACCATTGTCGTTTTCTTTGCAGGAATGCCATTCAGCTGCAGCACCAAGCTGTTTATTCTGACAACACGGTGTGCTCTCAGAATACATGTCAAAGTGTGCCACGCTGCTGGATGAGATTTTTCATCCGCAGTTAAAAAAAAAAAAAAAAAAAAAAAAAGACCATATATGCCAAAGCATGGGGGCATGGGGTTGTCAGTGGGTGGATTGCTCCTATGCTTCAGCATATGTATATTTTATAATATTGTTTGGCACAGATTTCAATAAAAATTTGTTTTATTGAGTTACTGTTCTGTTGTTACTGTTAACTGTTGTTGTTTTGTTTGCAGAACACCATTTTAGCTGCAGCACCGATCTGTTTATTCTGACAGCAACATGGTGTGCTCTCAGAATATACATCAGTGCATGCAGCGCTGGATGAGATTTCTCATCCACAGTTAAAAAAAAAAAAAAAAAAAAGAAAAAAGAGAACATACAGTCAGGTCCATAAATATTGGGACATTGACACAATTCTAACTTTTGTGGCTCTATACACCACCACAATGGATTTGAAATGAAATGAACAAGATGTGCTTTAACTGCAGGCTGTCAGCTTTAATTTGAGGGTATTTACATCCAAATCAGATGAATGGTGTAGGAATTACAACAGTTTGCATATGTGCCTCCCACTTGTTAAGGGACCAAAAGTAATGGGACAATTGGCTTCTCAGCTGTTCCATGGCCAGGTGTGTGTTTATTCCCTCATTATCCCAATTACAATGAGCAGATAAAAGGTCCAGAGTTCATTTCAAGTGTGCTATTTGCATTTGGAATCTGTTGCTGTCAACTCTCAAGATGAGATCCAAAGAGCTGTCACTATCAGTGAAGCAAGCCATCATTAGGCTGAAAAAACAAAAACAAACCCATCAGAGAGATAGCAAAAACATTAGGCGTGGCCAAAACAACTGTTTGGAACATTCTTAAAAAGAAGGAATGCACCGGTGAGCTCAGCAACACCAAAAGACCCGGAAGACCACGGAAAACAACTGTGGTGGATGACCGAAGAATTCTTTCCCTGGTGAAGAAAACACCCTTCACAACAGTTGGCCAGATCAAGAACACTCTCCAGGAGGTAGGTGTATGTGTGTCAAAGTCCACAATCAAGAGAAGACTTCACCAGAGTGAATACAGAGGGTTCACCTCAAGATGTAAACCATTGGTGAGCCTCAAAAACAGAAAGGCCAGATTAGAGTTTGCCAAACGACATCTAAAAAAGCCTTCACAGTTCTGGAAGAACATCCTATGGACAGATGAGACCAAGATCAACTTGTACCAGAGTGATGGGAAGAGAAGAGTATGGAGAAGGAAAGGAACTGCTCCTGATCCTAAGCATACCACCTCATCAGTGAAGCATGGTGGTGGTAGTGTCATGGCGTGGGCTTGTATGGCTGCCAATGGAACTGGTTCTCTTGTATTTATTGATGATGTGACGGCTGACAAAAGCAGCAGGATGAATTCTGAAGTGTTTCGGGCAATATTATCTGCTCATATTCAGCCAAATGCTTCAGAACTCATTGGACGCCGCTTCACAGTGCAGATGGACAATGAACCAAAGAGTTTTTTAAGGGAAATAAGTGGAATGTTATGCAATGGCCAAGTCAATCACCTGACCTGAATCTGATTGAGCATGCATTTCACTTGCTGAAGACAAAACTGAAGGGAAAATGCCCCAAGAACAAGCAGGAACTGAAGACAGTTGCAGTAGAGGCCTGGCAGAGCATCACCAGGGATGAAACCCAGCGTCTGGTGATGTCTATGCATTCCAGACTTCAGGCTGTAATTGACTGCAAAGGATTTGCAAACAAGTATTAAAAAGTGAAAGTTTGATTTATGATTATTATTCTGTCCCATTACTTTTGGTCCCTTAACAAGTGGGAGGCACATATGTAAACTGTTGTAATTCCTACACCGTTCACCTGATTTGGATGTAAATACCCTCAAATTAAAGCTGACAGTCTGTAGTTAGAGCACATCATGTTTGTTTCATTTCAAATCCATTGTGGTGGTGTATAGAGCCAAAAATGTTAGAATTGTGTCGATGTCCCAATATTTATGTACCTGACTGTATATACCCAAGCCAGGGGGCCTGGAGTGGTCAGTGGGTGGATCACCCCTATGCTTCAGCATATATTTTTTACATTTATTTTGGCAGATTTTTTTATCCACATCGATTGATGTGAATAGAGGAATCTGTTTGGTTCTCTTTTTTTTTGTTCAGCCCGTGGGCTAAATGAAAAGGAAAAAAAATCAAAACATTTCATGTATGCTCAACATTAGAAGTGGGTGGATGCAGGGTGGTATATTCTAATGGTGGGTATACCATACATTATTTTCTGGCAGAGATTCCTTCTCTTTTTTCATTTAGCTCACAGGCTGCATTAAAAAAAAAAAAAGAACATATATGCCAAACAAGGACTAGCGGCGTACTGGTACATCACCAAAATGGCCGCAATCATCTCTATAGTCTAAGAAAACGGAATCTACGAGCATTTCATCACTCCAGTTTCACAGGATATAAATAGCACCATTTTTAAATTGGGAAAGCATTTGAATACACTGATCTTGGTCAGATCAGATGATTTAAGGGCGGAGAAGATATCTAGAGTATGATAGACCCCAGATTTCTAAAAAAAAAAAAAAAAGAAAAAAAAAAAGGAGTACCTGTCACTGCCTATTGCTATCACTGGGGATATTTAGCATTCTGAAATTCCAGAATAGTACAACCCAACCCTCTTTTTGGAAAGTAGACACCTCAAGGAATTTGATGAGGCATGTTGAGTATTTTGCAGGTTTCGTTTGATGCCACAAGTTTTTGGAAAAATTAAGAAAGAAAACAATTTTTTTTTTTTTGTGAGAAAAAATTAGATCTGCAAAATACTCACTGTGCCTCATTAAATTCCTTAGGGTGTCTACTTTCCAAAGAGGGGTCTATTTTTTTGGGGGGGGGAGGGATGTTGGGCTATCCTGGAATTTCAGGAAGTGAAATGAGGAAATTACACACCTTCAAGCTAGGTTCTTAAAAAGTCTTGCACAATATATTTTAGGGTGTAATTCCACATATACCCATGGCATGTGTGAGCAATATATCATTTAAGTGACAACTTAGTGTAACATTTTCTTTTGTCATTCTCCAAAAAGTATTCCATTGACTCAACATGTCTCTCAGCAAATAGTCTGGGGTGTCTACTTTCCAAAAAGGGGTCATCCTGGAATGCTATCCTTGTGCTATCCTGGAATTTCAGAGCCTCTGGAACTTTGATAGGTAGTGAGGAAGTGAATTGAGGAAGTTACACACATTCAAGCTTTCAAAGGGGTCACTGGATTTCAGGTGCCCGTATGCGGCTAGGCTCCCAAAAAGTCTCACACGTGTGGTATCCCCATACCCTGGAGAAGTTGCAAAATATATTTTGGGGTGTAATTCAAAATATACCCATGGCATATGTGAGCTATATACCATTTAAATGACAACTTTGTGTAAACAAAAAAAAAAAAAAAAATTCTCCACAAACTTGTGGTGAAAAAAAAAAAACTTTAATGGACACAACATGCCTTTCAGCAGATAGCACCTCAAGAATGTGATAGGCAGTCAGAAAGTAAAAGCTGCGTAAATTCCAGTATCCAAACCATAGTTTGTAGACGTTCTAACTTTCACATAAACAATATACACTTATTGGGAAATATTTTTTACTCAAAATACATTTTGACCTAAATTTAAGAAATTTGAGTTTAATGGATATTTTTTATAACAGAAATGAAAAAAGATAGGTTTTTTTCAAACTATTTGATTTTTTTTTTTGTTTTATAGTGCAAAAAAACCACACAGGTGATCAAATACCATAAAAAAAAAAGCTCTATTTGTGGGAAAAAGTGACAAAATTCGTTTGAGTACAGTGTTGCATGATTGTGCAGTTACCAGTTGAAATAGTGCAGCACCAAATAGAAAACAAATGGCCTTGTCAGGGGGGGGGGTAAATCTTCCGGTGGGCAAGTGTTCACAAAGAGCTAGCACAAAACATATCTAGCTATCTCCTTAAATTGGTGGAAACCACAGACATGAGATAGGAACTAAGAACATCCCTTTATAGTGTGTATTTGGCTCCAGAGCAGTGTCATTCCTGTCTGCTTCCTCGTTCCTCTGCTATCTGCTTGAGTCACTTCTGATAAGTTTTCCTGGCACCAAGAGGTAAAAAGGTGACAGGGGAGGAAGATTCAGCACATAGCCTATGATTGACAGCCTCAGCTCTGTTCCTGTGTGAAGGGGATGTGTCCCTTCCCTCCAATCATGAGCTCTGCAAAGTGTAACCAGCTCCCCACCCCGTTTTCTGAAAGCTCAGGCAAGCTGCAAAAATTCTGCATTTTGAACAGATGTAGAAGAGAGAGGGCTTCAGATAAACAGGTACAACTCAGATATAGGAGGATTTGTTTCATTTCTGTGCGTCACCTGAGGCCAGTCACTTCACTGGGTATATTTAAGGGTTTATAACCAATTTAGAGGATAAGTGCACTTTACGATCAACTTCTTCCCCAAGACTCTGTAAAAGTTTAGGGTGACTGAGGTCCAAGAGAGTTCATGACGCAAGTAGATTTAAAAAAAAAAAAAAAAACTAGTCCGGTTGTACATCAACTACAAAATTCTTGCATTTATTTATAAAAAATGAAAATGTAGGTAGATTAATTTGATTTATATTGGTTACCTGAAACATTGGAAGAAAAAATATAGCACAGTACTATACATTTACCAATAGAGGTTTATTGGCAGGATGAGATCAAATGTGCTGCTGCTCCTTCCCTGTGCTACCAGAAGGCTAGGGGTGGGCCTGTGACCCAACTCTACTGGCCAGGCGCATTATTTTCCTGTGGCTACTCTGCTTTTCTCTATAGTCATTTTCATATGTACAGTGAATTCATAAAGTATTCAGACTCCCTTCAGTTTTTTTTCAATTGTGTTATGTTGCAGCATGATACTAGAGTTGTTTAACCGTCTCCCGCCCACCATATAGTCCAATGACGGGCGCAAGGTGGTTCTCTCATTCTGGGAGGAAGTCTTATGACGTCTTCCCATTCTAACTGCGCATGCTCGGCTCAGGGAGTGCGCAGTGTGGTGATCGGTGGTGTGCTCGGACACAGTGGATCACCGATCTACGGAAAGAGACGAAGAGGTCAGCTCGGTCATGTGATCAGCTGTGTCCAATCACAGCTGATCACATGTAAACAGGGAAATGATGGTTATCGGCATTTCTCTCCTCACGAGCTGTCATGCTGACAGCTCGAGAGGAAAGGAGAGCCGGTAATTGGCATTCCGCGGAGGGGACATATACACTGATCATCAGGGCACTGATGATCAGTGTGGCCCAGAAGTGCCACCTGTCAGTGTCCATCAGTGCCAGTTGCCAGTGCCCATCAGTGCCACATAACAGTGCCCATCAGTGCCACATAACAGTGCCTACCAGTGCACATCAATGCCACATATCAGTGCCCATCTGAGCTGCCTTTAAGTGTCACCCATCAGTGCAAGTCAGTGCCACCTATCAATGCCAATCAGTGCCACCTATCAGTGTGCATCAGTGCCGCCTATCAGTGTCCGTCAGTGCCGCCTATCAGTGCCATATATCAGTGGTGCCTTTCAGTGCCCATCAGTGATGCCTGTCAATGCCCATCAGTGCCACCTACCAGTGCCTCCTCATCAGTGCCACCTATCAGTGTCCATCAGTGCAGCCTATCAGTGCCCATCACTGCAGCCTCATTAGCGCACATCAGTGAAGGAGAAAAAATCACTTATTTACAAAATGTTACAACAAAAACTAAGAAAAATTATGTTTTCTTTCAAAATTTTCAGAGGTTTTTGGTTTAAGCCTAGCTCAGCCCACTTCTTCCTGCAGCCTCCTGGCATGTCCATATCACATAGCCCAGGGGGACAACAGATCCGTACGCAATCTCTTTATAAGGCTAGGTTCATTGTTGTGCACTGTGGGAATGTGCACAAAATTGCACACATTCCTGCAATGCACCAAAAAATGCATCTCTTTTTGCAGGCTTGCATTGGCACCATTAATTCTTAATCGCACTCCAACGCACCTGGTCGATGTGTGTTTTGGTGCGGTACCATCCTAGAAAAAAAAATTAAAAACTGGATTTTTTTTGTTACCATAAAATCCCTTTCTCCGAGTTCATTGATGTACACAGCCTTCATAATCTTGACTGTAGGATTATATTGCCACCTTCAGGAGTAGGACTAGGCAGAAAAAAAAAAAGAACAAGCACAACACCGCCTATCAGCAGTCCTAACTGGTAGTAAACCCCCACTCTGCGATAGGCAGCTCAGTTCGTTACAAAACAGTTCAACAAAAAGGAAGGGTGGCTGCTGTGCCTATCAGTGAACTCAGAGAAAGGGATTTTACAGTAAGAAAAAAATCCAGTTTTCTCTTTCGTTCATTGTTGGACACAGCCTTCATAATCTTGACTGTAGGGATGTACCAAAGCAGTGCCATAACAAGGGGTGGGAGCTCAGTAAGAAAGGGAAAAGGGGGAAGGGAGGCACCTGACCCCTAACTGCATAAGCCTGGACAACAGTCTGCCTGATCCAAAGAGAAATAGTGGCTAAAGAAGCCGCCAGACCCTTTCATTTCAATTACAAAGAGCGAAATCCGACCTTCAAAGAGGGTTGTAACAGAGAGGTACACACAGATGGCCGGGACCACATCTAACAAGTGCAGTGCAAACTCCTTAGGATGAGATGGTCGTGGACACAAGGAAGGGAGGACAATGTCCTCATTTAGGTGAAAGGCAGACACCACATTCGGAAGAAAGGAGGGAGGCAGACGAAGAGCCACTTTATCTGTATGGAGAATCAGATAGGAGACTTACGAGACAAGACTGCCAGCTCAGACACCCGATGAACGGAGGTGATAAGCGACCAGAAAGGCAACCTTCTGAGAGAGTGTGAGCAAGGGAGAAGCCTAATGTTCTCAAATGGTGGTAAAGGACTGAGAGAACTAGGTTCAGGTCCCATGGTGCCGATGGGTGCAGGAGGGGGGGGTGATTGCCAACATGCCAAATCCCCTGAATAACGGTACGAACCATAGAGTGCGTAGCCAAAGGGTATTGAAAAAAGATTGCCTGAGCAGATACAGAGCCCTTAATAGTGCTCAATTCTAGCTTCTGATCAACACCCCCTTGTAGAAAGGCCAGATTCTGAGAAATGGAAAAGGAGCGTGAATGCCACCCAACAGCCTCTCAATACGAAATGTAAGCCTCCCAGGTGTAATGACAGATCTTTCGGGAAGTAGACTTACAAACCTTCAACATAGCGGGAATCACAGAAGCCGGCTATTGAAAGCCAGGTGCTAGGAATGGTAAAGCAGGGTGGAATATCGGCCCCTGGGACAGGAGATCCTCGTGCAATGGAGGTCGCAAGGGACGTCTGCGACCAGCCTCACCATGTCGGCGTACCAGGGTCACCAAGGCCAATCCGGAGCTATTAGAATAACCGGAATCCCCTCGGCCTCTATCCTACATAGTAGACAAGAGAGAAGCTTGAGAGTAGGAAGGACATAAATCATGAGCTAATGACTCCACGACGCCACTAGAGCATCCAACGTATCCGCCAAGGGAACCCTCACTTTTGCCACGAATCTCGGCAAGAGATTGAGATGGGAGGCCAGCAGATCCACATCCAGTGAGATAGTCTGCCTTCCAGTTTTCTACACCTGGAATGTAGATGGCAGAGAGAGCAAGAACATGAAGATCAACCCACCAAGAATGTGAGACACTCCTGCGCCGCTGCCAAACTCTCTTGTCCCTCCTTGGTGATTAACACAGGCCAACGCTGTGGTGTTGTCCGACTGGATTCTGATCGGATGCCTGTGCAGTAGTTCCGTCTAATGGGAGAAACAGTTTGATTGCATGCAGCTCCAGAACATTGACCGGGAGGCAAGACTCTTCCAACGTCCAATGACCCTGGGCCGACTGAAGATCCAGAACACCTTCCCAGCCAGTCAGGCTGGCATCCGTTGTGATCACCGTCCAATGGAGAGGGAGAAATTACTTCTTGACCCGAAGAGCTGGAGACCGTAGCCATCAGATAAGAAAAGCATTGGTCAATCATCCCACGCATATCTGGTTGTCCACGGATGTTGAAGATCTCTCCCACCTGGATAAGATATTCTGCAGGGCCCCAGTGTGAAATTGGGCATACGGGACCACCTCGAAGGTGGACACCATGAGATGGAGAGACGACCACTTGCGGGACAGCATTAACCGCACTGCAGTGCGGAGAGTCCGAAGCTTGTCCAGCGGGAGGAACGCCTTCGCCTGTGCCAAGTCAAAAATCAACCCCACGTATTACAAGCGCTGGGTTGGGAGCAACACGGATTTTTGTAGGTCCAACACCCAGCCGAACTCCTGCAGGGTGCGCATAGTGATCGCCACATTGTCCCTCAGTGCAGAGTCCGACTCCACTCGCAGGAGAAGATCGTCCAGGTAACCCATGACTGCGATCCCGTTGTCTCAGTGACGCCCGAACTGGAGCCAGCACCTTTGCGTATACCCGTGGGGCTAAAGCCAGGCCAAAGGGTAACGCCACAAACTGATCGTGTATGTCCCCGATCGCAAGTATCAGGAAGCGCTGGTGACTGGGACAAACGGGAACATGCAGGTAAGTGTACTTGATGTCTGTGGAGGCCAGGAAATCCCCCTGATGCAGGGCAACCACCACAGAACAAACAGATTCCATCTTGAACCTCCGTACTTTTACAAAAAAATTGAGGGCCTTGAGGCCCCTTTTTTCTTCAGGACCGTGAAAAGGTTGGAGTAAAACCCCTGAAACCTTTCTGAAGACGGCCCCGGGGCTATCACACACCCTAAAGAAGCAAATCCTGCATCACCCCATACAGAGCCTGCAGACAAGATGGGGAGAGACAAAAATCGGAAGGAAATAATTTGTCTGGCAGGCAGGACAGAAACTAGTTTGTAGCCAGACCAAATCAGTTTGCGGACCCGAGCCTGACTCCGGCTCGAAATCCTCCTTTGAGGAGGGAGGGGGAGTTTTTTTACTCTTTACGCCCAACACCACCTCAACCTGGGAAACAAATGGTTCTAGGGGATGGACCCAAAGGGACTAGCAGCCACCACGGGGAGGTCTGGAGGTAGGTCACCTACTTCAGACATAATGGAAGGATCCCACAACCGACTGGGCACCACCATCCACCGGGAGAAAAGTAAACACCCCTAAGCGCTGCCGCAGAACACTGGGGACCCCAGTAGGACTCACCACCACCTACCAGGAGAGCTGAGGAGCAGTGCTGTGCGCTGTCTGTCCGCCAGGTGAGGGGAGCTTCACGGGTAGCAGCGCATGCTAGGCCGTTCCAGACCATCGGGAGATGCCGCTCCACCCACCAGGAAGTCCAGCCCACTGGGACTGCAAGAGGCTGCCAGAAGGATACAGGAAAATGGCCGCAGTCTGGAGTCCGACCCCACCATCAAAATGGCGCCCAATCGAGGCTAGGAAGGGATCTGGCCACTCACACAGCACATGGCGAGTACAGTGAGTACCCTGCAGGAAACCTGTCTGGGACAGCTGGCACCAACATAGGCAGGGATAGACAAAGTAAGCCTGCCGAGGAAGCAGCTGCAAAATGAGCCCAGCGCCAGAGAGGAGGAGACCCCACAGGAACGACCACCCCAGGGGGTACCCGCATCTTGCACCATGCTCTGCGAAGGGGGGAGGCATGTGCTTATCAATCCAGCTGGAGAATCGGGTAACACACCCGAGACCAAGGTGGGGAGGCTGTCGTCCATGGTGATACTTCAGGTGATACGTCAGGTGCCGGGTCATATGTGTCCCTGCAAGACGTTCAACCCGCTGGCTGCCCCTGTCCAGAATGGGGCACGTCGCAGCTGACTCAGCGCTGAGCTAATGTCTGTGCACGCTCGATGGCCACGCTGGGGAGACTACAAGGATCTATATTATCCAGTCTGTTGCCCAGTCCGGCAGTTGATTAAAGATCTACGCCGAAAGGAGAGGAAAACAAAAAAAAAGAGAAGGAAAAAAGAAAAAACCTACAGAACCACAGGTCCCAGTGGGTAGCCAGGTACTTACTCCTACACCTGGCAGGAAAAAAACTGAACTGCCGATCGCAGAGTAGGGGTTTACTACCAGTTAAGACTGCCCAATGGCGGTGCTGTGCTTGTTCTTTTTTTCTGCCTAGTCCTACTCCTGAAGGTGGAGATATAACCCTATGATCAAGATTATGAGGGCTGTGTCTATCAATGAACGAAAGAGAAAAAAGGCAACACACTTCTTTTGTGCAATATTCCCACATAGGGCAGCAAACGGAAATGAATGAGCTGTCTTAAATGCAATACATAACGCAAAAACGCATTGCGCATAGTTGTACCTGCATAGACATGAATGGATCCTTAGAGAAAGAGAGAATAACTCATGCAACATCATTCAGTAGCCATATAAGTACACTATATTGCCAAAAGTATTGGGACACCCCTTCAAATCATTGGATTCAGGGGTTTCAATCACCTCCATGGCCACAGGTGTAGTAAA